CATTGATTTGTTCAATGTAATGCAAGTGAAATTTCTACTTTATATGTGCTGTTGAAAATTTCTGATTTAATATATGTTCAATTGCATATGTTTGTTAAATCATGGAAAACTATTTTTTATCGTTTTCCATTTTTACAATTTCGAGTTTTGATATTGTTTGTAGTAGATGATTGTGGCTTAGAAGGTGATGAACATCGTAAAGTGTCCTGAGTAATGTCTCAGAACAAAAATGCTCTCGAATGCTTGCCTCTTTTTTCATACGGATTGCCGATATTGCTGCAAAGTGTGATCGAGTGAGCACGATTTCGAGGTATCGTTGTTTGACCTTTATTTAGTGCTTTTTCATAATAGGACAGAGCTCCCAAATGCTTGCCCATTTTTTTCTACCCGTTACCGACATTGTTGAAAGATGTGATTAAATCAGCACGGTTTTGTGGTATAGTTGTTTGACGTATTTCAAGTGCCTTTTTGTAAAATACAAGAGCTTCGCCATAGTTACTCATGGTGTCGCACATTGAACCAAGGTTTTTATCAGGACTCAGCATCAATGGGGTGCTTGAAGATACTATATCTTTTGATCTTTCAAGTGTTGCTTCATAGCATAATGGAGCTTTCGAATGACCCACTGCACTATAACATGCCGAATCGAAGCTGTTATAGGGATCAGCCAATAAAAGATTTAGTCGAAGCAAAGAACTTTGTTGAGTTTGAATAGCTTTCTTGCGAAATGTAAATCTTTTTTCATGTGTGCCACATATTATTGTACAATTTTCTACATCTTGATACGTCGAATCAGTATTGATGTCGCTATTAATTGATTCAGAAAGGTGGAACGCATCATTATTTTGGAGGATTTTGAATGCTCTGCTGTCGCTCGAAGATAGTTGCCTGTAAAACCTATTCGAGTTGTAAAGATCTCTACAACTGTTGTGAATTTTGCTTGGATACAAATGATTTCGAAACTCCGTTTTCTCTGCAATTTTCCGTGGGTCTTGAAAATAGAATGACACAGGTAAGTAATTGTTCGCAGTACTGTATAAATGACCGATATTATCATACGTCTTGGCCACATCAGGGTGCATGAATGGATAGTATATGTACTGAATTTGCAGAGCATTTTGATAATTTGACAGGGCAGTCATATACTTTCCCATGGATTCATGCACTGTACCAATTTTATTGTAAACTTCAACGAGTTCGATTGATGTGAACATAGATTTCTGTAGAAGAATTTTGAGTGCCTTTTCAAGATAGATGAGCGTGGTAGAACTGTCTCCCAATAAATAATGCACTTGAGCAACATTTATGCATACTAAGGTTAAGAAAGGATATGGTGGTACTTGGAATTTTTGTTGAATTTCAACTGCTTTTTGAAAATATGAAAGTGCCATTGGAAACGCTCCTGTCGCACAATATATTAGACCAAGATTATTATAGGATATGACCAAATCAGGATGAACGAAGGTCAAATACTGCTTTTCAATGTCGAGTGCCTTTCTAAGGTAAACAATTCCGGTTGAATAGTCTCCTAATGATTTGTACACCATACCTATGTTGTTGAAGAGCCCAGCTGACTCCATATCATTATTTGAAAGATTGTTGTTTCTGATTTCAAGTGCCTTTTGATAGTAGAACAATGAGCCATTAAAATCATCTTCAACTTTTTTTATATACCCAAGTTGATTGTAAAGATAGGAGAATTCTTCCCAATTGTCATCATGTTCTGTCTCTGGTAGCATCTTATAAATTTGTTCAGCTTTCTCATATTCACCCATAGTAATCATCAATGAGCATAGGGTATGTAACTTTGTTGATTCATTGTTCATATTTTCCCTGCGTTGCTTGGGATAAGATGCGAATTGCTTATTGCAGTCATCGGATAATATGAGGTTCACGTGCCATAATCGGTCAGCTACACATTTCATCTCTGCAACATGAAAAAAGGTATAGGGAAGGATCAGTACTTCTTTTTCTGAAACATCAAAATTGCTTATGTTATCCAACGAGGTGAACGACTTGCATGAAGCCGTTATATCGATTGTAATTTGAAAGAAAATTCCGACTGAATCTGGATTACATTGAGCACTTTGTGCAAAGAAATAAGAGACTGTTGAATTAATACTCGTAGAAAGAAAATTGTTGAACGACACAAGACCACCCTTATTCTGCTTCAGCTTTTCAAATTCCCACATGGACATAGCTTGTCCACGGTAGAGAGTCGCATGTGCTGTTTGATCTGCGTTCAAATGCAATCGCTTAATTTGTTGGTAAAAATCATACATGCAACTAGCTTCGATATCCAACTGGTTTGATGTAATTTGATATCGCTTGGGTTTTTCCATACATCGATCGAATAAGCCATTACTTGATTCAGCAAAAGCTTCATGGATTAGACTATGATCATTATAATTCATCAATGGTTGTAGTCGATTGAATCTTTTGTGCAAATCTCGTATAGCATAACGCATTTTAAAGATAGTATCAGAATCTTTCGTTCTCAATGCTTTATTGAGTAGCGAATAGACAAATGACTCTTTTGTATACCACAAAATAGCTGATGATGAAGCATGATCTTGCGTAAATTCATTAACTACATGCGATATGGCATCTTTATTCGTAAGCCCGGTGCGAACTAAATTGACGAAATTGTTTTTAATCATTTCGTTGTATTTAAATAGAAGTAATGTCTCATTGAGTACTTGTGCATAAATGAATCTTAAACTACTTTCAGTCAAAGCAGAATTAGAGGCTATATATTCAATACTCTTTGATATGACATTATGTTTCGATTCTCGAACAATTTGTTGCAATTTATGAAAAATTACTCTAATGTCATTAAACACACCAATAACTTTTGTCCACTTTTTGGTCTGCTTTTCACTCTTGTTATTGTGTGTACAATAGACGTAAATTGAAACCAATTGACACATATTATGTACTATTGGCATGAGAGTCTTCAGGGAACAACTGGAAAGAATAAGAATGATCTTTTGATTGCGAGTATGAGTAAGAAAATGGATGAGTGAATCTCGTTTATTGAATGTTACGACAGATTTGACAGTCTGACGTACTTCAGAGATCAAGTCATACATATCGATTAAGTTTGTATCGAACCAGGCGATGATAAAATTATCTGTCAAATGTATGTGCTTGTCTGGAAAAACACTAACATTCGTCATAAATGTCGTTGTAGGTGTATGCTGCGTTTCCGGCTCCTTTTCAGTTTGATCAGCGCAGTGTGTTGAAACTACGAAAAAATAGTGAAAAAAAATCATTTTAAATCTAAGAATTTATTTGCACACAGTTATCGGCTTATTTAATACTATTATTTAACTATTACTTTCGATTTTATACCTGTATAAAATCATCAAGTACCACATTCTAATCACTATGATATTTCTGTAGCTCGGAAATTTATTGCTATTGATTGATATAGTATTTATTCCAGCTAATCATCGTTAGCTATGCAGTCTTTCTGATAATTTGAGCTTCTTTTATGGTCGACGTTCATCATCTACATACTACTATTTGACTTGCTATTTGATGATGATTCTTCGTCAACATTGATTAATTTTTTTACATAATTTAGAACGATCTGGACTTGTTTTGAAATATCTCAATACTAATCTGACTACTGTTTTGCTACATAGTTTGCTTATTTGACGGAGTCGGTTTTTATAGACAACATGATTCAAGAAAAGTCTCTTTCTTCATACAAGCAGAATGAAAAATGCAAGAGAAACTTGCCGAGTCCTTACTATTATCCAATATATCGGCTTTTCGTTTGTTGCAGGGTTCTAAAATAATGAAAAATAAAGATATTTTGTCAATTTTGAATGTTTCAGTTCTTTACTTGGATGCATAAAATCAGACAATCCGAATGTATCCCATTGAATAGCACCATTTCTGTCAGCGATTACACAAGCAAGTCTTGTTGTATTAGGTATATAATCAGCTGAATGAAGCTTTTGAGCAGTGCTTATACTAAGTGTGTGAAAAACAAGCTTGTCTTGCATCACCTGTTTTTGATAAATAGTACACAGTCTCAATGGTAATCTAAAACAACAGATATTTCAGTGAGTAGAATATAATTTATAAACTTTACTTGAGAATGCCATCGTTTATCAAAGTTGATCGATCGATTTTAAGCCAAATTGGATTGTACGATGTTGTATCTGTGTCGAGATCGTCACGTAAAAAACCTTTTTGCGCATCTAAATGCCAAATTACTTGTTCTTTCTGGTATTCTTCGTTAACAGCACCGATGACAAGTGTTATTTGATCTTGTTGCAAAACATGCGATGGAAACTGAGAGGAATATTGATTTAAAAGTATGTTCGATCTCTGCCACTCTTATGCGAATATTTTTTCGGATGCAACTTACTTTAATTTCCGGCAAAATACTAGCATATTTGTTATCATGGTCGTATTTAACACCTTGTATGCGTGTGATGCACTTTTTCTTTTTAGTACACATATCTACAGCATCTCGATGACAATCGCCCAGTTGATATTGGGTTCTTTGGTAAGGAGCAACATCACGTACAAAAACTATGTGGAATGTTGTGTTAGAATCATCAGAAGAATTTGAATGAATATCATTGGGTGAAGATGAAGAAGCATCATGAAAACATAGATTCATGTCAAGAGTTGGCGTTATTGATCTGGGATTTTCGGATACAGACATATCATTCGGACTGTTAGCCGATGTACACGATGGTGATAGAACATTTTCTTCGAAGAAAAGACAACAAAATGCAAAATAAGATATTTAAGTAATTAAAACATACGAAAGTCAGAAAATTCGGGCTCTGCTTCGCTGGTTTCTTGAAATAAAACTTCTGCAGGAAGTGTTTTTTTTTCTGTTCGAGGTAATACTTGTCGAAGTCTTTGAGCACATTCCTCATCAAAATCGACATATGCTTGAAATCGCTCATCATAAACTTGCAATTCAAATGAGTTTACTTTAATATTAAAATTTGAGGCTACAAGCTCGATAATTTCAGTATAAGACATGTATGGATGAATCGATACAATTCTAATTTGATGGCGGCACATTACACCAAGATCGTACGAAGCCATGTTGCAATAAAAAAACCGTCTACTGTGAGTCAGACGTAAAAGTATACGAAAGAGGCAGTAAGGAAACGCTTTTATACTACTTACTTGTTTTTTACTTGTTTTAACCGAACAGGAAAAAAAGAAAGTCGAGTTGATTTATTCCTACCTATGTTGATTTTTTCCAACTCCGGTTGATTTATTCCAACCCGTGTCGATTAATTCCTACCCGTGTTGATTTATTCTTTCCTCTCAGTTTGCTTCCTTCTAAGTTGGCATTGTGCGACCAGCACCTGTATCTTTCAAGCTAAGTTGATTTTTTCCAACCTTAGTTGGTTTCTTCCAACTATTGATAAATGTAACGAAAAAAAAGCGCTTTCATTCATAAAAAGAAAAAATAAGTGAAGGTAAAACGCAGTTATGAACGCAGACAATGCAGTTGATACATTGGCTCGATATAAAGACTTCAGTGGTAGAAGACGAATAAAAGTTACCAAACAATTCGGCCCTGAGACTCAGTGCATCCATGTTTATGAATGGATAAAATCGTGGTGGAAAGTTTCCTGTAACTATGACATCGAAATTAAAGATCAACACGGAAGATTTGTCGATTTTGATCAACAGTACATTAATGAATATAATCCTTTCGCTATCTGCCAATCGACGACATCGATCTCGTCCGGGATTGAGTTACGAATTATTCAGATAGGCGGTAAAATCTCTTTATTAATTTTCATCTTGGTTCTTCATTGGTTTACAAATAGATAATCAGCCGAATGCAGCGACGAATGTTTCTTTAGAAAGAAGAACCGAGCCATTCCCCTTCGTAATACAACAGCAGTACCGAGACCGTGAGATAGTTCAAAAAATTTTGAAATTACTCTTTCCATTGTCTTATAGCATCAAATTCATATGTTGAACCAACCAATAATGATGTTGTACAAGTGAGCAGTCGAGATCGTTTTGCAACATTATGTGCTTCTGATTCCATCACACTAAATGGGAACGAAGCAGGAATGAAATTTACAAATAATGTAAATGATATTCAACGTGACCAATATACGACTGATAAAATTAATGCGGCAACAAATGAGAAATTCAGCCATTTTGTCAGAATTCAAGGTGACAAAAAACATTTAGTAGGGAAGGCTGTGCATACGACTGTGATGCCTGCACTAAAGGTAATTATACTTCTGTAAATATAGATAAATTAATTTCATGGTTGAAAAAAAAACGATACCATTATAGGTTTTTATATTTGGCAGTACTTCTTTTGAAAATTTCAGTTTTATTTTAAAAAAGCTGCTTTTCTATTCAGTGATTGAGATGAGACTGAGATTAATTAGCTCTGGAAGAGTGCATAAAAAACGAATATCAATCGAACTAAGCCGATTTGACTGAAGAAGTCATACGCACGAAAGACTTTGGCTTAGCTTACTCTCATCAAGCTCTCGGTATGAGCAAAACATAAACCCAAAAGCAATAAATCTGTTCTGATATTTCACTTATCAATTGGTTCAATTGTATTTACATTTAGGTATGATCTTAGAAAAGAGAATCTCAGGAAAAATTCAATTAGGTACATGCTATTGCCGAAACTTTCAAGACTTAAGCTTTGTACTTTTCTCTTTCATTAGTTTAAGGACCATTGTAATTAAGTTATCATATTAAATTAGTAAGCTTCGCGTAATAGCACTAGGGAAGAAAGGACATTATTCTGCTAGAAGTAACTAGTGTCTCAGCACCATTTACTGAGAAAATAAATTCTATCAATCATTTATTAATGATTTCAAGTTGATCTTTTTGTCGAAGAGCATATTTGTTGAATATAACAACAGTTGATGAAACAGATCATCTTCGTATAACACCAAAGTCAAAATACAATCATGTTCAACTCACAAAGAAAGTGTATCAAGTATTACATTAATTTCAAGTTCACATCCTGTGGATGAGCTAAACTTCACTGAGATACGAAATATCCCAAAAGAACAAGTGTTGCTAGTCCTTCTCACCATAGATATAGTATTCAATTGGTATTTTTATCTACATATAGAGCAATTTACACTAAAAATTGAATAACAGTCTTTTGAGCTGAAACTCTGCCCACACATAGACCTACTCATAACACGAATATCCTGAAAATGACAGCACAAATTATTGTTTTCTCGACAAGATATTGGAATTCTAAAAGTCAGCAAATCTCCTGTTTGTTGGAACCGAGTATCTTGTGAAGGAAACAGTATTTTGCGCTGTAATATTCAGAATACTCTATTTATAAGTGAATTTATTTGTAGACAAAGTTTCAGCTTGGAATGACCATCGTTCAATTTTTTAGGATATACTATTCTTTGGTCTAAAATTTCAATAAAATGGCTAAAACTCTAGAGAGAAGAACTCAGAACATTTGTCCTAATCGAGTTTTTCATATGTGACTACGACCTATTTTATGTACAGTCCGAAGGTAGGGACGATCTGTCACATGGAACAGTTCTTTCCTCAGTTCAATTAAAGTAATTATTCCATTTTAATAAGTTAAAAATTAATGATTTTATTACACTAATCAATACTCTAATACAAAAGAGAAAAGTAAAATGCCAAGTAAAAAACACTTTAGTAGAAACTGAAATTCTATAATGTAATAAAATAAATATGATGATGTATATTTTGTGGAACTCACGTATATTTTTGGAGAAAATAGTGAATGAAAGTTTAAGGGCGAGATTTTTCGGCTCTCCACCTCCCCTCTCCCCATTTCAGACATTAATAAGCAAGGAAAACGAATTTAAAAAAAAGCAATATATTCGCACTTTTACGCATTCTGTATTAGTAAAATTATTCTAAATGTCATACGTCAGTTCCACATTTTAGTGCCCAAGGAGCTGCGCTAACGAGCTTTAGTTAAACTACAGTGCACGCGAAAAGTCTCGTATCACTTTTTGGTTTTGAGTTGTGTATTAAAACTACACAAGGTTAATTTAATTTCGTTATAGGCCTGTATAGTAGAGGTTGAGTACTATATATATATCTATTTAATACGAAAAACACAAGAAAAACAAAGCAACTTCAATGCTAAGAAAAAAATGACATAAAAAACTGAAAAATGAGAATAAAAATGTTTAGAAAACCTTTTGTGGTACAATAGGAATTTATTTATACTGCTTTTATAGATCTTTCAACAGCGCATCTTTTTTGAAACAAAAAATCAAGTTGCTATCATTTTCTTAAGCCGAGATACATGCAGAATACAAGTCTTTGAAAAATTTTTATTATGTTACCTACAGTGGGAAGTAACACTCATGTATTTTCGTTTGATTTTGAGTATGGAAGAAACCATCAAAAGAAGTCAATAGGATTTTGTTCTTACACTTTTTGTAGAGCTTTTCACGGCGCACTTTTGAAAGAAAAATCAAGACTTTATTGTTTGTTGATGGAGAAATATTCGCAAAACAAACTATGTTACAAACATTCTGGGACACCCAGTATTTGACATTATTTAATATTTTGTCTATAATACCGTCATTTCTCAATGAAATTCAAAATGGTTTTTTTACCAAAATGATCAGCGAAAAGACTTCTGAATTCTTTGTGTTTTTCGTGATTCACAGACCATGAAAGTACCCTCTAATCACAATATCATTTTGCAGTTTTTTATGTCATTTTCTTCTTAGCATTGAAGTTGGGTTGTTTTTCTTGTATTTTATATTCAAGGTTTTTTTGTATTAAACCTATATATATATACAGATAGATAGATAGTATTCGACATCTACTATACAGGCATATAGACAAATTAAATTAATGCTGTGTAGTTTTAATACCAGACTCAAAACAAACAAAAAACTACGAGACCTCCCGCGCGCACTGTACGTGTATTTGATTCTAAAATCAAATAACTTTATCCACGTGCTCACTACAACATTTACTCTGTTTCTTTTTCTTTCACTCAAATATGCTCGTGAGAAAAGAAACAAGCCCGGCCAAGGAGGGCATAGTGATGAAATGAAGCAATGTTAAACTTTTAGAGAATAGAAAGAAAAGGTAATCAAGAGCAAGAGAAGTGTATTTCTTTTTTTCATAGGATAGGGAGAGGAGAATATAGTTATCATATCATATACAAGGATAGTTGAACGATGTACTTGTTCGTTTATGTTCGATATGAACGTGCCATATTTATTGACACAAGCAGTTTTCGAATTATTTGAAAACGGTCTGTATGTTCGATTATACTTTTAGTCAAAGATTAACAAAAAAGTTCCGAAATTCTTGAAAGAATGTAAGACTGTACAAGAAGTATAAATACTATTGTTTAATGAGCTTTATAAGGATTAAGACTATAGCCGAATATTGATCGAGTTTTGTTCAAATCATTACAATAATCTGTGAATATGATGTATACAGATTTTAGAGAACTAAGGGCTATTTTAAATTAGGGACGACTCTCGAAGCTTTTATGGTTAGTACCATGTGAAATATGCAGTTGTGAGCTTTACAAATATCTGATTTAATTTGTTACAGATTACTTGATGATCAGTTTTGGTTAGAAAATTATTCTAAAGCATAATCTTCTGAACAAATATAACTGATCGCTTATATAATATCGAAATGTAGAGAAGTACGAATGAGTTTGTAAAATTTCTAGTGAAATTTTGATTTTGTAGCCTTATGAGAACGANCATATGTTGAACCAACCAATAATGATGTTGTACAAGTGAGCAGTCGAGATCGTTTTGCAACATTATGTGCTTCTGATTCCATCACACTAAATGGGAACGAAGCAGGAATGAAATTTACAAAGAATGTAAATGATATTCAACGTGACCAATATACGACTGATAAAACTAATGCGGCAACAAATGAGACATTCAGCCGTTTTGTCAGAATTCAAGGTGACAAAAAACATTTAGTAGGGAAGGCTGTGCATACGACTGTGGTGCCTGCACTAAAGGTAATTATACTTCTGTAAATATAGATAAATTAATTTCATGGTTGAAAAAAACGATACCATTATAGGTTTTTATATTTGGCAG